TAAATTGTTTAAGTGATAGGAGCTTAATGTTATCACTGATAGCATTCCAAATCTTAGCACCCTGATATCTAATATTGAAGATTCCATAGTTTGTTCTTGTTTTGGGCAGCGCATAAGTCATTCTAGAGGAAAGTCTTGTGTTGTAATTGTGAGTTTCTTTTACCGAAGTAAAAAAAAACTTCAAAGTTATTAGGAAGAAGTTGGTTTTTAAATTTGTACATAAAAACAGCAATGTGAAAAGTTACTTCATCAAATAATTTGATAACATTTAAATCTTTGAAAAGTGGACCAGTATGTTCAAAGAAGCTAGAGAAAGTTATGATTCTGATGGCTTTCTTTTGTAAGACAAAAAGAGGTTGCAAAGAAGTTTGATAAGTATTACCCCAAGCTATTATACAATATGTTAAAAATGGATATACAAGAGCATAGTATAGGTCCAATAAGGTTTTACTGTTAAGGTAATAACGAAGTTTTGATAGAGTGCCTATACTTCGTTTAACCTTTTTCGCAATATAATTAATATGACTTTTCCAGTTAAGATTTGAGTCAATGTAAATTCCTAGATATCTAATAGAATTTTCCTCAGTTAATGATTGATTATTGATAAATAATTTAACTGTCTTGAGTAGTTTTTTTTGGATTGGGTGAAACAATACAAAATTTTTTCTTGTCGATATTCAAGGAGAGTTTGTTTGCACATAGCCATGAATGAACTTTACTGAGTTCATTGTTAAGATTGCTTTCTAGTACATGAATATTTGTATGCTTAAAAAATAAGTTTGCATCATCACTGATCTGTGGTGGTTTTCAATTGAACTACTATTCAAATAAATAACTATTAACTAAAAGTTTGTTCAAAGAATGACACGCAGCGGGGACCGTTAATTTTTAATATACCCATCAACGTTACAGATATAGTTCTAGTTTACGTTAAAAAGCGAATAAACAGCCAGCTGAAACATTTCACGGAGGTATTAGTCTTAAAACACATTGACATCCATAGACCTTAATGTCTCAACGATTTGGTAAATTATAGCGTTAAAGGGTTTTTACATGTCGTCATAGGGAAAGATAGTCTTGTTCAGAGTGTATTGTCCTCCTGATATTAATAAGTGAACTAATGAGTAGGTAAATGTTTCGTCCTTTGATGGTTTTTGTTTTTTTCCAACACCACTTGCTTTCAATCGCGGGAAAGCTTTTGGTTTTCTGGGTGTCGATAAATGATAAACAGTGTGATTTTGTTCTTGCTGGGTCGATGTCGGTGTTTCACTCGTAGAACCTTTTTCCCCGAATGTTTACTCTTCTCTGTGTCATAGATAACCACTTTAACTTTTGGTTGTAGTTTAGCCTCTTGAAGGTATTTTCTCCGTTGCATATGATCCAACTTGTGCGCATTTGCGAGATGGTTAGCTAGTCTTACAAGGTACTTTGCACCGCATCCTTCAATCGGGCAATCTCTACAAACTCTTTTATAGACCATATTCACAGTTCGACAGCAAGGAAAACTAACTAATTTCAATGGGATCACTATCATTTATAGAAACATGGTCCTGGGTTCAACCTCATTCTCGTAAACACGCACCATGTTGGTGTTTTGTAATTTAGCGAACTGCAGCCAATATTTTCTTTCGAACTCTGTTAACTCGTGTACTTGTCTTAAATGATTGGATAACTTAACCAAAAATTTCGAGCCGCAACCTGGTATCGGGCAATGCTTGCATTTTAGTTTTTTTGTGTTAACGGTATGAAAGCAGACTTTAAACTGAACAAATCTGTTTGCGACACAAATTTATCGTTTATTTTCGAGGGCACAACAGGCACCAAGGGCATAAAGGGCAGAAATTGAGTGGTTTTTTTTTCATTAGGAACACGTGAGAAGGTCGCGTGGGGAAGTTGCACGTGGGAACGCAGTCGTGCCTTAAGTCAGAGAATTACAAGAAACGTGCTTTTTATAAAGTGTTTTATTTATGAATCACACAAGTTACAATTTTTGATACTCATTTTTTTTTTTTAATACAGCAACCAATTTTACCACACAATTTTATATATCTAGAGGCATAGTGGTAACTCCATCCTCCAACACTTTTCTTTTGGGGTAAAAGTAGGAAAACCCATCTCAAACTTGTTCATAAGTATACATGCTATTGTTGACTACCCGAAAACTTTTATTTAATCCTGCACTACTCTGTTTGGTCAACAGAACATTAAGATATTTTTCTTTGTTAATGTCGTTTGTTTTCTTGTTAACCCCTTTACAACTGAACTTATCATAGTCCCCAAAGCAATAGTAGGTCTTGCTACTGAGACCAATTATTCCTGCCCTTGACCACTCTTCCTTAAATAAACCTGGTGTTCTTTTGTCATAAGCTTTGTGTTCTGGAGTGTCGGTTCGTGGAAACCAATTGGCCTTGTTTGCTTCAAATTCCTCTCTTAACTCTGGTTTTACTAGACTTTCTACCGACTGCCCCGCAATCGCGATATAGGCAGAGTCTGTATCCATTTCACAATACTGAAAATCACTACGATCAAGATATTTATCCATGAAATCAAAATAGAACTGAAGCATTCTGAGTTTAGCGTATTGGTAAACAAAAAAACCGATTTGCATGGGAAGATTCAACTTGACCGTTTTCTTGCAAGACTGGAGTTCATAAGTGTTCTCTTCGATCCGGTCAATCTGTCTGAAGAAGGGTGTGTTGATAAGCCGTGAGGCCTTTGTTTCTTCACAGAACTTAACCTCTCTGTGGCGTTCTTGGTCCGTGATCGTCTTCCCGTAACTGGAATTCCCGACCTAATAAATAATGTATCAGAACATTAATAAGGTTTGCATAAGG